TTTGTATCCATACTTTCAATTAATAGAGAATTATGAGAAATTTCAAAATTACCAGTGAAAATTCCTAAGTCTTACAGAAAGAAATCGTACTTCAAATCTGATGGTTTTAAATTTATTCGTCTCTTGTTGGCACCCTTACAACCTGCAGCTTCTCAATGGGTTGTCCAAGCTGGAAAATCAAAGCCAAGGCATGTCATCGCAAACGGATTCATGTCATGCGCTGCCGATCATACTTAGTGGGCTCCTCATAGCACACGTTCACACAGATTCAATTGCGTGACCGTCTCTTTTCGCTTGCGCCTGCTGGGCAGTCTGGTCCAAAATCCGCGACGCAGGTGGGCAGTGTATTCCTGATGTTCAGATGTGACACTGGCTGGGTAAGCCGTGCGGAAAAAGGCCAGGGCTATTCTAGGCTTCTAAGCCTTGTAGCGCAGGTGTATATTTCAATGCGACATAGCCACTAGAGTTGCCCACAACGTCAACTACGTCACTTTGCAACTCATCATACGGTGCCATTAAAGCGCAGGAGGAATAGTCATGGTCGCCCCAAACAACCAGCGAGCCGTCCTCCTTCAAAGCGGCAAAAGTCATCACGTTTGGAATCATGAAACTCGGAATCCTCGCAACTCCGCTCTCCAGCTGAACCACGCTGCGGGCATCCCCATGGTAGACACCCCATGCAACGACACGGCCACCGACCTTCAATGCAGCAAAGGCGGCCACATTGGCCGAGATGGATAGCACATCGCTCCCCAATTCTGTCACAAGCTCTTCGTCGAGGTGCGCGCCGTCCTCCGCCACCCCCCAGGCAACGACCTCGCCGCCTTCTTTGAGAGCCACGAAGACATCATCAGAGCCAACGATGGAAACCACACCCTTGGAGAGCTTCTCCTTAGTTGCTGAGTTCATAAGCCCCCCTAAAAAAGGTGTACACTTTCAGTTCTATAAGGGGATTTCTGGTATCCCCAAGAAGTGTATAAAGTGTACTCAACTCAGCTTCTCTAAGTCTCCTTGACAGAGTAGTTCGTTTTCCCGGCCTCTTCATCTGACCAGCTCACGAACATGTCCCCGCCCTTGCCTTCACATCCCCAGCAAACCTACACTGAACTTGGAACCCTAGCAAAAAACTACCGTTTCAGCTGTTTCTTAGGACTTAAAGTATCCAAAAATGAGAAGCGACTCCCAAATATCCCTAAGAAACAACTTCACCCGTCGTCTTCAAGGCAGCAAAGGACGAGCCGCTGGGGCAAATGCTCGTCACTCCGCTTTGCACGAGCTCTGCTGCCGAGCCGAGGTCGCTGACTTCGGGGTCTCCCCAAGTGATCACCCCGCCTGCGACTTTTGGGGGAAAGTGGGCAATTCTAGGGGCCTTAATAACTCGAAGAGGGTTTTGGGGGGTGGTTATAGTACAGTTCTAGAGGAACGTTCAGGGAATAATATGAGTAATTCTTCCGACCCCTATATTTATCTTCGGTGGATTTTCATACCTCCAGGATCCCAATTAAAACATATTGCCCATACATAGGATTTAGCGTTTAGGGGTTTGGGGGTTAGGGTTTAGGGTTTAGGGTTTAGGGTTTAGGGTTTACTCAACTCTCATGAAGGCCACCGGTGTATGGGAAGAGTTGAGGAGGTTTGGGGAGGGGGCTTGGAAAGCTTTGGGTTTCGAAGGGTCTGGAAGTTTACCAGGAGACTTGCCTGTTGCCTATGCACGTCTTTAGCCCAGAAACCTTTTGTCGGGCATTCGTTTGGGTAACGGTTTGGGTGAAATATCGCTACAGTTCCGCGTGCGGACTGTGAATGTGAATGTTCGGGACCCGCGCGCTGTTCAAGAACCTGGATACACAACAGTCTCATCATTTGATGTGGGTATTTCCAAAAATAGGGGTACCCATTTTATACCCCAAATAGAATAGAATCCCCTTAAAGGGACCCCCCCCCCGCCCCGAAGAAGGGTACCCCAATTTCTCGGAAACCCTCGTATGTGAGTTCGTGATGCATGGTAAAGCATGCCATCCTGGATCTTGACGGATGTTCCTACGTGGAGACCCCTACTGTTCATGAGGGTCCAATATAGCACAACCAGCCCTTGTCGGTATAGGGTGTAGGGGTTGAGGGTTTAGGGCACAGGATCTCTATAGAAAGTTTCGACTTCAATTGTCCCTTTGTGTCGGTGTTTTTGGTCAAGCCCACCTGTGTCAGTCAAGGCCGCAAAGGCCCCACCACCGAATCCCCAAGTGCCAACTACGGAGATGACGCCTTTCAAGCTTCCTGCTGTAGAGCTGCTGTCACCTCCAAAGGCTGGATCCCCCCAAGTAACCACCTCTCCATTCTCTTTTACTGCCGCGAAGGCTTGGAGGGTCCGTGCCACCGACACAACTCCATCACGGAGCTGGGCAGTGATCTCTGGACTGGGTTTCCCACCGCAGTCCGCACCTCCCCAAGCTACCAGCTCGCCGCCTGTCTTCACAGCAGCAAAAGCCTGTCCGTTGCCAACCACCTGCACAACACCCTGGTCAAGGCCAAGAACACCCTCGGAGTCACCTCCATCATCTTCCTCGCCTTCGCCCCAGGTGATGACAGAGCCATCTTCTGTCAAGGCAGCAAAGGCATCGCACGTGGAAGCCACTGCCACAATGCCTCTTTTCAGCTGTTCTTCGACTTTGGACCACTGTGGCCCACGGGTACTGCGACCCCAAACAATCGCCTGCAGGCTCCGTTTCGACGTCACCATAGTTAGTACCATGGGATCTGCTGCCGAACCACCCTGCAGCTTCCTGGTGTCAGGGAGAATCGCACTATCTTCCATGAGAACGATTTCTTGGCTAGGCAGCAGTTCCAATGACTGCTGCAGCCGGCCCAATATTTCCGAAACACATGGTGGTTTCTCGAAGCACACGGGCCCCAGCACTACATCACCGGCTATCGCACGGACCTCAATGGTCGCCATGAAAGAAACCCGCCTCGAAGGGGGCTCTAAACCGTCCAAGAGGCAAGTCTTATGGCCCCCGAACTGAGATGAATTGAGGGCAAGCAGGCTTGATTCGGGGGGAATGTACATCATATCAATACGACATACGACATGGGTCTCACCTGCATCGAGAAGGAGATGGCGATCGGTCCAGACATGAAGCTTCATGACTGATGCTGAGCTGTGCCGTGAGCAAAGCTTTAAGCTGACCAAGCCTCTACTATAATCATACACTCTCTATACATGTAGTACAAAAATGAATAAACGAACAAACAAACGAATAACAATATGACATGTATGTGTATAAACATGTACATATGCACTCCATGCCTGCAACTCTGCTTACCACCGCCTTGCAAGGAGCCGCATCGCTGCTTTTTAACCCTAAACCCTAAACCCTAAGCCCTAAACCCTGAACCCTAAACCCTAAACCCTAAACCTTAAACCCTAAGCCCTAAGCCCTAAGCCCTAAGCCCTAAGCCCTAAGCCCTAAACCGCAGCACCTTGCAGCGGCGCAGGTCTGCTGCTCTCTGCCACCCGGCGCAGAAAATCTTCGGCATGAGCCACCGGGGGGGGGGGGGGGGGGGTTTAACACATATTTTCCTTTTTCCCATAATGTTATTATGGATTATGGTATGCTTTTTTGTATATGCTTGTATAATATTGTACATTCTTGTATATTAACGTTCTCATCAAGACGATTTATCTCACACTCGTCTTGGAGCCGATGTTATTGCACCGAAGGTAAACTTGAAAGCAAACTTGTTCAACAAACCTTCGAATGCCAATTTTTGTAGTAGCCCCATCCCGTGCCTCCTTAGTTCATCAACTTCAAATCAGTTCTACCCAGAAGACTTTGGGATTTTTGTGGGATTGCCAACCAACTAAAGAGAATGATTCATGCAAAGGATCTCGTAAAGTCGATACTTCCCTAATTGCATAATTACATAACGATTTGCTCCTCTCCAAGTCCATTGAAACTCCAATATAGATTCGAACTGACATTCAAACATTTCATAAAGGTCAAGAACCAGTAGTTATTCGAAGAAGAGGAGACTATTTATATCTAAGTCGCAGTACATCTTCTTCGCATGAAATAACAAGTAGAATTTTGTGGTCAGGTCCATCTCGTATGATAAACTCCAAAATTACGAAGAATGTCTGCAATTCAAGCCATGAGTCGTTACAGTCAGTGCAGCACTTCCTTCATTGCATTCTCGTCTAAGCTGCGCAACAACTCTTTGCTTTGCCTGCAACGAGCGGTCCGCTGGAGCTTCTGATCACAAGGATCAAGCGTGGAGCGAACATGAACCCGTCGAGCATTTCATCATGGAGCTTCTGGTCACCTAGGTACCCCCAGAAAACATGTGGGCATTTGCCAAAAAAAGGGAGCTACCCCTTTTACACCCCAAACAGAATAGAATCCCCTTAAAGGGATCCCCCAAATAGGTACCCCCATTCTCGGAAAATCCCCATATTATACTGATGGTACCCTTTTTGGGGTTGGTTACTTGAAAAGGGAACCTTGAACCAAAAAACGGATAAAGGGTACCACTGGGCTGCCAAGTCACCGGGACCCAGCACCTTGCAGAAATCATGCCTCCTTCGGGAGGGTCCTCTCCGCAATTTGGAAACTGCTCGTTTGTTCAGCTCGGAAAATCCTGAGCACTGGATGCACCAGAGTGAACATAAACGAAGTCTGTGGGGCCTAGAGGTGACCTAAGCCCTAAGCCCTAAACCCTAAACCCTACAGCAACTCTCCCAGCAAAGGCCTAGAGTCTCGTAGTAAGCTGACCACGGATGGGCAAAACTCGAGCTCGCGTGCCCCCGCGGAAAGAACTTCATGAAGAGCTTTGGCTGCTGACAGATCAGACAGGTGCACTGGTTGGATGCGCTCGCCTAAGTTCTGTGTCTCAAGCGTGGAAAACCACTCAGCTTGGCTGCACTCAGGAGGGTAGCTATAAATTAAACTCCTAGCTGCCTTAATAAGAAACCCAATAAACACCAAAAAAGGTAAGGATCTAAAGTTACAGTAAAGTACCACAAAGTCAGAGCCACCGCCATGCGTAGGGCTCCAGGGTCTTCGAAGGGCTTTCGAGCTTTATCTTGTGCACCCCGTACCCCAAACCCTAAAACGCCTCCGAGTCAACCGCAGGTCTGCCGATAGCCTTCCAAAAGCCGCGAAAAGCCAGTGTCAGGGGAGCTAGTTCATGGTTGGGATAGTATTAAAATTTTAAAATTATATTCCTTATTGGGTTTAAGTACCCTTAAAAATGTAAAATGTTACCCAACTACGACAAAGGGAGGGCTTAGGCTTTAGGCTTTAGGGTTTAGGGCACCTGCTGCAGAAGCACGTTCCGAGGCCGACGTGTGACCACAACACGACAGGCTTCTACTTTGAAAGGTCTGTTTGGCAGGAGCACTTTAGGGTTTAGGGTGTAGAGTTTAGGATTTAGGGTGCCGAGTTTAGGGTTTAGGGTGTCGAGTTTCGGCTTCAGGGGACGGTTTCGAGCACCTCGAATTGCAAGATGTCAAGCAATGCGCACGGGACTCAGGTGAGAAGGCCTTCGGCACATTGGACGATGCAGCAACTGGACGGGGGGGGATTTCGACTCCAGATGCGATGCCGTGCCTAGGCACGCGCAAGCACGCCTCGAGCTTGCGGTAACCAGCCCCATGCATAAGAACCGGGCACAAAACCGAGTCGTTTTGCATCATGTCCTTGAATATAGACTCATCACCAGTCCACTGCTCAAACTGTTCTGCTTCTGCTCATCCAGAAGATCCAGAAGAGCATGGCCAGAAAAATCAGGGAGCAGTTGCTTAGCAGTTTAAGCCTGAAGTGCGCTAAGTGTGTAACTATGACCCCCTTCGAGGCCTGAGGCTTCTCTTGGAAGACTTCAAACCCTCAAAACTCCAACATCGATGTCCCAAAAAAGTTCCGAACATAGCACATGTCCGGGCGACTGCACGAGTCAGTAGTCAAAATTGCTATAGCCCCTCTTAAGCCATAACCAAAAATGACAAGTGTTCTTGCTCCTTCTTGGCTTCATGTGATTCCCGAAGGACTACGCTGAACCCTGAACCCCTAATCCCTTTTTGCATCCGGGCTCTGTGCGTGTTGCCGGGACCAGGCGCTCTCCCGAAACCCTTTGCAACTAAACCCTAAACCCTGAAGCCTAAACCCTAAACCCTAAACCCTAAACCCTAAACTATAGCTTCCACCCCTGAACGTGTGCGGCCTGATTGCATGGGCTTCCTTGATCATGGCCTGCACCGGCGCATGGGTGCGAGGGTCTTCAAGCAGCTGGGTCGCGGCCGGGGACAGCATTCCTGGCTTAGGGTCTTTAGGGTCTTTAGGGTCTTTAGGGTCTTTCAGGGTCTTTCAGGGTCTTTCAGGGTCTTTAGGGTTTAGGGCCTCTCTCTTTTTGTTGCCACCCGCCCGATAGGATCAAATTGCCCGATGGCTGTGGCATCTCCAACAAGGAGTGTAGCGTCTCCACAAAAAAAACCAAGACCAGAAGTTCATCGAGAAACTCAAAATCGGAGCAGGCCAATAGGTGTCTGGGCAGCGTTTTGTCCGAACCTGAACCTTGGAATCTCCCAGCCCCTGAAATTCGCACACTGGACGGGCGAGCCCTACATGCGCCTGACTTTCCCCGACGCGCTTGGTTTCCTTTCATGCAGATTTTTTGTGGACCATGGCCACTGTATGGACAGTCTTTGAGGCATCTTGCATAATTCCTTCCTCACCCCAGACTCTTTCTGCTGTGAATCTTAAGACTCAGCCCTTTTGAAACTGGACTTGCTCAGTGCCAGAAACACACCTCAATGAAGAAACCCACGACTCGTAAGAAAGACAGGACCCGAAACCCCTCCAAACCCTAAACGGTCCTGGTGGGTAGCGTGACTGATCCACGGAGGGCACGTCTGGCTGAAGCGACGCCAGGGCGACGCTTGTTAACGGCGTCAGAGACCTTCAGGTTCTCAGGCTTTAGGGTTTGGGGCTTAAGGTTTGGCATGTCTGGCTTAAAGCTTGAGGATCATCATGGTGTAGGCTAAGGGATGAAGTCTAGGACGGATATGCGAAGCCTCACATTCTTTTAGCATAGGTTGTGCGGGTTTAGGCCAGTTTAGGCACTAGCGTCTCGGGAATTTGGGTTAGTCCCCAAGCCCTTTTTTGAAGCATGGACTGAGGCCGGCGCCTGCACACTGGAAGATGGACACTTCTCTCCAAGACGCTCGCTCGGGGTAAACCCTAAACCCTAAACCCTAAACACTCTCTTTCATATAGAAAGTGTACTGGCCTCCTGGCCACTGCATCGGCGTGGGGACGGTGGACAGGGTATGAGTACCTTGGTCGCTCTCAGGTTGCCCTGCAATTGTTTACCCTAAACCGTAAACCCTAAACCCTAAACCCTAAACCCTAAACTCAGAGCCTAGGCCGCCCCCCTACGTTGGGGGGCGGCGCTTAAGCCCTTTGACCTCGATGGCACAAGCCGACTGGCCCGGCCCCCCTGACCCCCCCTGACCCCCCCTGGCCCCCCTGGCCCCTTGGCCTGACCCCCCTGGCCCCGCTTGGCCCGCTCTCTGTTTGTGCCCCGCCCGGCCCCCCTGGCCCCCTGACCCTGCCCTACTGGCCCGGCTTCGGGGCCTCTATCTTACCTTCGAGACCTTGCTGGCACCCTTGACTCTCGGATTCAACCAACATCAAAGTTTTGAAGAGTGGACTGTCGTCTGAGTTTAGGCCTAAACCCTAAAAGGAATAGGTTTGGGTGGCTTTGCCGCCTTGGACGGCGTGGGGTGGGAGAAAAGTGTTTAGATGGCCCTCCACAATCGGGCCAAAGCTGCTCTTCAGCACCTCACGAAGCTTTCGAGCTTGTTCCGAAACCTAACCTTCACAGCATCTACGCCCTATCACAGCAAACCCTAAACCCTAAACCCTAAACGCTAAACCCTAAACCCTAAACCCTAAACCCTAAACCCAGGGGCCTGCGCACTTCGAAACCAAACTCTTTTGCCCCCAAGGGATGGTTAGGGTTTCCTAGGGTTCCTTTAAAGGGATGGTTTAGGGTTTCCTTAAAGGGATGGTTAGGGATGGTTAGGGTTTAGCCCAGACACGCATACCCCCAAACTCCAAAAAACCTAACTTGGGTATTCCTCAAAATAGGGGACCTCATAATCCAACTCGGAATATTGTACTCCTGAGCGTGGCAACCCCCAGAAAGCGCACCCTTATTTGGGGAGATGCCAACACTTGAGATCTTGGGCTGATAGAAAGCTCTGATGTTGCCAGAATGCTTCCTACGCGCAAACACAAGCTTACAGGGTTTCGGGTGTTTAGGGTTTAGGGTTTAGGGTTTAGGGTTTCAGGGCTTCAGGGTTCCAACCTCAAAGTGCATCCGCCAAAGCTCAGGAGTTTTATTGCCAAGAGCCTATCAGATGAACCTATGCACTTGAGAAGCTTCCTTACCTGACAGTCTTACGAACATTCTCCTAGTATTTTCAACCGATAGAAATTATACGCTTGTTAAGGGAGGGGGTTCATGGGGGGCAGGTACCTAGGGAACCTTGCGGAAGCTTAGGGAGCCTTAGGGAGTACTTACCGGGGAGTATACGGGAACCTTGGGTTACATACCACCCCTAAGCCCCAAGCCCTAAGCCCTAAGCCCTCTCTTAGGGAGAATCCCCCCTCCCTTAAGAACCCTATAACCCTTGTATTTTCAGCGGACAGAAACGCGTCAAAACAGTTTGCCAGGAGTTTTTTTGCAGATACCACGAGCCGCGGAAGACCCAGTCTTGCTGCGCCAGCATAAGCTCCAGCAAATAAGGCTCCTGCTGTTTAGGGTTTAGGGTTTAGGAAGGCTCCGCTTGTGCTTGCACGCATCAACTTGCCACTCGCACGCCCTAGAACCGATACCATTAAGGCAGTAGAAGCTCTAAAGCTCTTCAAAACCCTGAACATCCATCTCGGCCACAAATGAGCTTCTCAAAAAACTCGGAGGAGTAGGGTTTAGGGTTTACGGTTTCGGGGTTTGGGGTTTAGGGGTTTAGGGGTTTAGGGGTTTAGGGGTTTAGGGGTTTAGGGGTTTAGGGGTTTAGGGGTTTAGGGGTTTAGGGGTTTAGGGGTTTAGGGGTTTAGGGGTTTAGGGGTTTAGGGGTTTAGGGGTTTAGGGGTTTAGGCGTTTAGGGGTTTAGGGGTAGGGTTTAGGGTTTAGGGTTTAGGGTTTAGGGTTTAGGGTTTAGGGTTTAGGGTTTCGGGTTTCGGGGTTTAGGGCCTAGGGCTTAGGGGTTCAGGGAGACAGTGGGGGTGAGCGGGGTCCTTGTTTTCCATGTCGACCAGGCTGTCGGTGATCCCAAAGGCCACCTGACAGATCTTCATAGCAGGTTTAGGGTTTAGAGTCTAGGGGTTTAAGGTTTAGGGTTTAGGGTTTAGAGTTTAGGGGTTTAAGGTTTAGGGTTTAGGGTCAACATCCACATCGCTTTTGTGAAGTTGGGGCCCCCAACTTCGGGAAGGACTCGAAGCATACCCTAAAACTAAACCCTAAACCCTAAACCCTAAACCCTAAACCCTAAACCCTAAACCCTAAACCCTAAACCCTAAACCCTAAACCCTAAACCCTAAGCCCCTAAACTGAATGTGCAGCGACGGCCACGTGCCCTTCACAAGATTGCGTCGAGCCCTCGCAGGTCGTCTGATTGGCCACCGAAAGGAAGGCGCGGGTGATCCTTTTAGGGTTTAGGGTTTAGGGTTTAGGGTTTAGGGTTTAGGGTTTAGGGTTTAGGGTTTAGGATTAGGTAGCACGATGGACGATGAACTTCGAAACCAACATACTGAAACCCCAATTCCAAACCCCAACTTCGAGCTTTTAGGGGTTCGGTTGGGATTTAAGATCCAAGCATCTAAACCCTAAACCCTAAACCCTAAACCCTAAACCCTAAACCCTAAACCCTAAACCCTAAACCCTAAACCCTAATTAAGCCCTAAGCAACAGAGGTCCAAGAACCGAGGCTCTTCTCTGCAATCTGCTTCTCCACTGTTTCGACGTCGAGGCCCTGCCGTTGGAACTCTTCCTTGAGCTCATCCACCTTGATGGGTTTAGGGTTTAGGGTTTAGGGTTTAGGGTTTAGGGTTTAGGGTTTAGGGTTTAGGGTTTAGGGTTTGTGTAGGACTCAGGGGTTGAGGGCCCCAAAGCAAGCATCGGGTCTAGGGTTTCATCTAGCGTCATAATAGGCATTCCCCGACAAAGGAACTTTGCAGTTGAGCTCTCCAACTTGGGATGTTCCCCCTTATACTAACAGTCCTCAATGGGGAATATAATCGGGGGTACTTTTTTTTCCCTATTAAGGACTGATAGTATAAGGGGGAACATCCCAAGCTCCAAAGCTCTGTGTTGGGTCCTGGGTATTGAGTCATGTCGGCATTCGACTCTCACACTAGCCGGCGCGGGCGAGGATTCTGTACGTGATGCGGCGAACAGTGTGGACCGGGGCGCCATAGATGCAGTTTCAGTTTCTGTGGAGATGACTGTCTTCATATTCGATTTCGTCTGCATCACATGACGACAAGAAGGGGACAACAAAAAGAGCCCCGCGGACGAAAACAGTCGAAGGGGCATGAGAAGGACTCCATCCAGGGTCCCTCTGCGCATACTTTAGGGTTTAGGGCTTCGGGTTTAGGGTTTAGGATATTTGCAAACTTTCTACCCTCAAGAGGTTGGTGGCACCTGCCCGAAATACTTGCTCTCGTCCTCGGTGTGTACCTCGGCTCGTTATGCAGCACGAAAGCAAGAAGTGCTGACTTCATGCCGCATGGCAACTTTTCTTGCAAACCAGAGCCCCAAGAAAGGACAGCGAATAAAAGCAAATACAGATTACTGCTGACCCTAAACCCGAAACCCTAAACCCAAAACCCTAAACCCTCCCAGCGGGTTCACCTGCAGGGATGGCCGGTGTTGGTATTTACAGGGTTTTTGTGGATCTGGTGTCGGGGCACGCAAGGTTTTGGAGCTTTTTTTGTTCAAGCCGGAGTCTTGAGCCTTCATGCTGTATCCCAGACCCAAATCCCGGCAAACCCTGTACGGGGGGCAACCAAAAGGGGTACGGGAAACCAAACTATCAACCCCAACGGAAGCCTTGAATTTTTCCCTGGACCAACCACAGACCAAACCCAAGACACAGAACACCCACTTTTTTGCACAGGGCGCATGGCCCAGTCTTGAGCCAAAGTGCAACGGGTCATTGCCCCTTTTACCAACCTTTTGTTACAAACTGCATCTCCGCACCCTGAACCCTGAAGCCTAAAGCCAAGAGAACTCTCGAAAGCTTTGTAACACCCAGTGCCTTTATGTAAGGGACTTGTAGTCATGACTCTGGTTGACCTGGATTTTCTCCTGTGCATTTGCACAGCTTGACACACGTCGTGCTTCTGCGACTGGCTGGCTGCAATGGGAATGCATTCCTTGCCTTAGCGGCTTTCTGGCAAGTTCCGCTGTACGAGCTGGAGTCATTCCACTTTGTGGTCCATGTTCGGTGGTGTAGACGAAGTGCTGCAGTTGGTACAGAGGCTCATTATCTTGCCTGATCGTGGATACTTATGTTTCCAATCACTATATGATCACCTTCCTCGGCTTTCCAGCGCGTGGTTGACATACAGAAGGTGGCAAGAACATGTAGGTCCGATGCCTGGTTTTGTGGCAGCTGCTTTGCACATTCTGCTGGGGCGTTTTTGTCACGGTGGCTGCTGGATTACACGACCTGGCGATCGAGAGCCGCATCTGCAGAAACAGTGCAGGGCCAATGGAGCAGGACAATGCTGGGGTCGGAAGCCGTTCGACCATAGTATGTGTGGTCAGCTTCCGAAACATATCAAAGATATGTACAAGGACCTCAACAGAGCTCGCTAGAAAACGACGCCAATACCCCCCCCTCCCCCCCCCCCCTCTCCCCCAAAAAAGAAAGCCAAAGGAAAACCGGCCAAGTAGTAGCGACGAAACACAGACCCTGGCAAAGTAGGATTTTTGAGATAAGTGGCATTCACCTACACACCAGGCCAGGGATCAGTAGCGTCGTAGGAAAATAGCACGCAGGCCACACTACTCTCCAGCCCTAAACCCTGAGCAACAAGCAGTGTCTGCACCTCAGCTGCGCAAAAACCCGAAAAAGTGTCCCTGCAAGTGAACCCGTTAGCTAAACCCTAAACCCTTAAGCCTGGCAGCGTTGGCCACCAGGATGGATGAGCGGTTCTCCATCGGCATAGCTCGGACAGCAGCCTCCAGGCAGGCAGGCGAGTCTTCGCACAAGGCTCTGTGCTCTCTGCGTTCATGGGCTCCCCTACTGCCCCCCTCTATACTACCCCCCTAGGTTCCCCCAATAGTTAAGGCTATTTACGAAAGTTAAGCCTAACTCAGGAAGGAACCTAGGGGGGGTAGTATAGAGGGGGGTAGTAGGGAAACCCATGATACGTGAAGCGAACTTGCATGCAAACGGTTCCCCAAGGGAACTCTCTAGTACCTGCATGTGCATCACACTTCAACTAAGGTTTTTTGGGGGTTGCAGCTGGCCGCCCTTCATTGTACCTTTGAAGCCTTAAGAGACGAAAGGGGACCCTTCTAAGGGACCTTGGGGGTTTCTTTGGGGGTTGTTTAGGGGCTACCTGGGTATCTAGGGACGGTATGGGGTTTATATAAGGGTGCTTTAGGGGAATAAGATTGAGGGTCCGTCCCTCCTTATACCCCTTAAAACTCGAGATTCCTAAACCCTAAACCCTAAACCCTAAACCCTAAACCCTAAACCCTAAACCCTAAACCCTAAACCCTAAACCCTAAACCCTAAACCCTAAACCCTTTAGGCCCTCTGGTCTCTGGCACCCTCCCTTAGGGAACCTTGGGCCTCCGCCGATCCCCAAACCCATCAAGACCTTAGGGTTTAGGGTTTAGGGTTTAGGGTTTAGGGTTTAGGGTTTAGGGTTTCGCCACCCGCACTGGGGTTTAGGGTTTAGGGTTTAGGGTTCAGGGTTCAGGGTTTAGGGTTTAGGGCTGCTCGTAGGTACATCCCAACCCTAAAGCCCTAAGTCCCGACTGAGAACAAAAAAGAAGAAAAAGGACCAAACCCCAAACCCCAAACCCCCAACCCCAAACCCCAACCCCCAACCCCTGACCCCAAAACCCTAAACCCTAAGAAAAAGGGCAAAGGCCGCCTCAGGGACCAAGGGCTGGCCAGCAGTTTTGTACAAGCCCTTGTTGCACACCTGCCATAGGGGATCCGAAGTATGAGGCCCTTAACTTGGGCCCCTTGTTCTATTTAGGGGTTTAGGGGTTTAGGGTTTAGGGTATCACCCTTATGTACACTTTAGAAAACAAGGGCCCAGACTTCGGACCCACTATAAACAAGGGTAAGGGACCACAAGAAGGGCCTATGGTTCCAACCTTGGACTGCAGGTGATGGGTCGAGGGTTTAGGGTTCGGAGGCTTTGGCAAACCCGGAAACCCTACGCACTATGATAAACAACTTGTAGTTTAGGGTTTAGGGTTTAGGGTTTAGGGTTCAGGGTTCAGGGTTTAGGGTTTAGGGAAGTACCTGAACTCCGCACTCCGTCAAATTTTCCGAGCCGCAAATTTACAACTCCCTGGCCACGTATACATGACGCATAAACAGTAAGGAGACTAAAGAGACCCCAAGCTAAGTAAACCCTAAACCCCTAAACCCCTAAACCCTCAAACCCACAAACAAACCCCAAGCCCTAAACCCCCCCCCCTCCCCTAAGCCCTAAAATCTAAACCCTCAAGCCCTTCAAAACCACAAAGCCCCCTAACCCTAAACCCTAAACCCCCAAAAAACGCACGACGCATCGCAGTCTCAAGGAACGTAGATGCGTGGAGGATCCATGGACGTCACTGCCAGGAAGCTCCGGATCTCCAGCTTGCGATCCTTTGGGGTTGGGGTTTAGGGTTTGGGGTTTAGGGTTTGGGGTTTAGGGTTTAGGGTTTAGGGCTTAGGGCTTAGGGTTTAGGGTTTAGGGCTTAGGGCTTAGGGCTTGGGGCTTGGGGCTTAGTTTGGGCTTAGGGCTTAGGGCTGAGGGTTTAGGGTTTAGGGCTCTTAACAGGGAATCAGGGAGTCAAGATCCCTAGTCTCTTATTAAAGGGTTATATAGGGACCTCAATTCCCTAATTCAAGCCCGAAACCCGAAAGCCCCAAGACAAAAATAGAAACTGTATGTGATACCATTGTGAATTTCCTAAGTTGTTTGTCTAAACAGCTGACAAAAGCCCAGTTGAAGTAGATAGATCCAAAGCGTTTGTTCGTCTAAACAGCTGACAAGCAGAGCTCACACCTTCAAAACCTCAAAAGGCTCACCCGCCCCGCCCCCCAACCCCCCAGCCCCCCCACCCCCCCCTCTTCCCCCCAAAAAATTGCACAATAACAAGCTCTAAAATCAAAACTTTCGGTCAAAACGTGCACGTTCAACATTCTTGGGGCCAGGCCCTCAACAATTTCCATAAACCCTAAACCCTAAACCCAACACCCTAAACCCTAAACCCTGAACCCTAAACCAACAGGCGCGCTCGGCCTGGTATGTCGGCACCTTGGTTACCGCCCGCTGCATCACCGGGACCTTCAGCTGCTCAATGCCTTTGAGCTCCTGCGGCTAGTTCTTAGTAGGGGATGAGGGAATTAGGCCCCGAAAGAATCACCCCAAACCCCAAACCCCAAACCCTAAAAGGGAATATATAGGGCCCTCATTTTCTCATTCCCTACTAAGCACCAGGGGGGGTCCTCTGCAGTGAGGAAGTAGATGCCATGGCCGTTGCCCATGGAGTCTTTCCTCTGCAGTGGTGCAGTTTAGGGTTTAGGGCTCAGCTATGAGCCAGCCATCTCCCAGCAAGTCTCAAAAAGGTTAGGATCGTAAAGTCTCCTAGCAACTCTACGACTCCACAGAAACGCACAACTTGAAACCCTAACCCTTAAATCCAACAAACTCTTCGAGCCGAAACCACAAACCCGAGCCCTAAGCCCTCAGCCCTAAACCCTAAAAGTTTAGGGTTTAGGTTTAGGGTTTAGGGTTTAGGGTGTAGGGTGTAGGGTGTAGGGTGTAGGGTGTAGGGTGTAGGGTTTAGGGTTTAGGGTTTAGGGTTTAGGGTTTAGGGTTTAGGGTTTAGGGTTTAGGGTTTAGAACTCGAGGCACAGTCAAGGTTCTTCGCAACCCACATGGAGCTGTTCCCTGCCGCAAGAAGCGCCCTCCTGTGCACGTCAGCCTCCAGTGGGACTGTTCAAGTGTTTTAGGGTTAGGGTTTAGGGTTTAGGGCTTAGGGCTTAGGGTTTAGGGTTTAGGGTTTAGGGTTGAGGGTTGAGGGTTTGAGGTTCCAACCTTCGGCCTCCAGGATGCCAGTCGGTCCATCTGCCGTGAAGCACGGCGGCGCGAACGCGAAGTCCACTCCCAGTGCCCGGCTGGCGTTGTTCTGGGCCTGTTGGGTGCCCAAGGTTTTAGGGTTTAGGGGCTGGGGTTTAGTGAAGATTCCGCAGAACCTGTGAAAGAAACCAGGGAACCCTTTCTATGTCTACAGGGCTTTATGACGGAACCCTAAACCCTAAACCCTAAACCCTAAACCCTAAACCCTAAACCCTAAACCCTCAGAAGAAGCATGCCAGGGGCTGCAACTTCGCTTTCATGGCATGGGCCTGGCAGAGGCCGGACTTGGCAGCGAGGATATCGAAACGCGGGTTATAGGTCACCTGATTCAGGGGTTTAGGGTTTAGGGTTTAGGGTTTAGGGTTTAGGGTTTAGGGTTTAGGGTTCAGGGCTACCTGATTCAGGGGTTCAGGGGTTTAGGGTTCAGGGCTACCTGATTCAGGGGCTTTAGGGCTATTAGGGTTAAGGGCTACCTGATTCAGGGGCTTTAGGGCTATTAGGGTTTAGGGTTTAGGGCTATTTGGGTTTAGGGCTACCTGATTGTTTCCTGATTCAGGGGCTTTATTTAGGGCTATTAGGGTTTAGGGTTTTGGGGGGTTTAGGGTTTTGGTTTTTGGGCTTTCGGGTTTAGGGCTTTCGACAGGGTTTCTAGGGCTCAGGGTTTAGAGGTCACCTGCTCTTTCAAGGGGGTTTAGGGTGTAGGTTCTTCTCTGAGGGATCGGATCCCCTGTCCACACTTCTGAAGATCCCTGCTAAATTCCCGAAAGCATGGCGAAGTTGTTTCAGCGGAGGTGGTGGTCGTTAAAGAGTGGCGTGATGGATTTGATGGACTTCGTGGCCTGATGGACTTAATGGAATTCGTGGCATGATGGATTTCATGGATTTCGTGGCGTGATGTGGACTTAGATGGATTTGGTGGCCAGTGGGTTTTCCTATTAAAACTAACATGCTCTAAGTAGGGTTGGCGGGAGCCACCGCACTTCGTAAAAAAGATACAACAACGATGACCCTCTGCGTGCTTCGGCGTTGTCGAAATGCAAAGACGATGACCCTCTGCGTGCGCACGGGGTGTCGCGATGGCACGAACGACAACCCTCTGCGTGTTTTGGCGTGGTCGAAACGTTGTCGAAACGCACAAACGATGACCCTCTGCGTGTTCGCGGGGTGTCGTGATCGCGCGAACGACTACCCTCTGCGTGTTTTGGCGTGGTCGAAACGTTGTCGAAACGCACAAACGATGACCCTCTGCGTGTTCGCGGGGTGTCGTGATCGCGCGAACGACTACCCTCTGCGTGTTTTGGCATTGTCGAAAAGGGTTTTCGTGAAACTTCTTCGTTGTCGTCCTTGATCGTCGTTGATGCAAGGATGGATGTTGTCGTGGATAAATGTCGTCATGGATGTCGTGTTGGATGTCGTGTTGGATGTCGTGATGGACGATGATTTCATAAAATATTCTGACATAGATCCTTTTAAACGGAGGTCTTAATCGCGACGCTAAAATGCTTTCGGGACAACCGTTCTCTAGTTGAAAGTGGGTTTAGGGTTTAGGGTTTAGCGTTTAGGGTTTAAGGGTTACTACACAGTCAAGCCAGAGCATGAGCGCAGCTCGTCCCTGCAGCACCTGCGCGCAGCACAAGCGTTTTAAATGAGCGGAGTCTCTGTTCCACCCGGTTAGCATTCAACAGACTTCCAGAACTGAACCTACCCGAACCCAACCCCTAATTCTGAACATCCCTAAGCCCGAAAGCATAGACGTTAAAAATCCCATGAACCCAAAACCCTAAACTCCTAAACCCTTTTGCATACACCCCAAGCCCTAATGTTGGACCTGTTTTGGTAGGGGCCCCATGAATTACATAAGTCCATCTGGCCGGACTATTCAAGGCAAAACATCTCGTGCGGCAGGGGTATGGATTACCCTAAGCCCTGAAGCCTAAACCCTAAACCCTAAACCCTAAACCCTAAACCCCAAACCCTCTTAAGTTCTGAGCGGCCCAGACCCTCACCCCGACACCCTAAACCCGTTCTGCTGAGCCCAGTCTGAGCCCAGTGCAGCCTCCGTCCCCCAAAGAACGTGAATCCTAACCCTTTTTGCTAAACCCTAAACCCTAAACCCTAAACCCTAAACCCTAAACCCTAAACCCTAAACCCTAAACCCTAAACCCTAAACCCTAAACCCTTGCATCCTAAATCCTGAGCCCCGGAAACCCCAACTCCGGAACCCAGAGCCCCCAATGTCGAACCGTGCAGCCGAAGCCGTGATTTTCATCCTAAACCCTGGGGTTTAGGGTCAGGGTTTAGGGTTTAGGATTTAGGATTTAGGGTTTAGGGTATAGGGTATAGGGTTTAGGGTTTATACGGTTTAGGGTTTAGGGCAAGCCCTAAACCCGAACCCGGAGATCGCCTTGCGGGACCCTTCGTAGAGACCCTTGGGCGCACAGTCCCTGAGGCGCGGCTGCACCTTGACATGGGTTTAGGGTTTAGGGTTAGGGCTTAGGGTTTAGGGATGTTTAGGGTTCAGGGTTTACGGTTCAGGGTCTAGGGTTTTGTTGGGGGCTTTTAAGCTTGTGTTTGCCGGCCGCCTAGCTAGCTGCACGAGCCACTTTGCAGGGACGCAGGGCTTAGGTTTACAGGCTTAGGGCTTTGCTACTATTTGCTTGAGAACCACAAAAAACACAACAAATCCTCCTTAAAACTACAAGGGCAATGTCGTGACAATTTTTCTGTTTTTGGAGGGTTCTTAAGCAATAGTAGTTTAGGGGCCCGTTCAAGAAGGAAAAAAGGCCTAACCCCTAAATCCCAAGCCCTAAACCTAAGGGTGCCAATGGTGGTGGCAAGAGATCAGGGTGTCGGATTCCCCCTTTTCCCTACTTCCAAGGCCCTACGCCTTTCTAAAACCCTTGACCTTCAAGCCTAGGGTTTAGGGTTTAGGGTTTGGGGTTTGGGGTTTAGGGTTTAGGAGTTAGGGTGTAGGGTTAGGGTTTAGGGTTTCGGAAGCCTAAGCCCACCCCACACCCTAAACCAAAACCCCCGCCTCGTTGGTGCCACAGACGATGGCCAGGTCCGTGGCCGCCCCGCAGCTTCTGAAGTCCGTGTCCCAGGTGAAGTGTGGACTGAAGCCGGCCTTGATATATGGGTTCCCAGGGTTTGGGGTTTGGGTTTAGGGTTTAGGGTTTAGGGTTCAGGGTTCAGGGTTCAGGGTTTAGGGTTTAGGGTTTAGGGTTTAGGGTTTAGGGGTACTACCCCCCTCTATACTTCCTCCCCCCAATTTCCCTCCATAACTAAGGTTTTTTGGGATACTTAGGCCTAATTAACGTTAGTTAAGGGGGGAACCTAGGGGGGAAGTATAGAGGGGAACCGGAACTCTCTTTACCTGAGGTTGGAACCACGGGCCCTTAGTATGGTCCCTTGCCCTTCTTTATACAGATCCGAAGTAGTATTCTACAAGGACTCCAAAACATGTAGTCTATTCTTTGGCTATGTAACAAGGGACCCAAATTGAGGGCCCATACTCGGAACGACTCTGCGCGTTGTTTAGAGTTTAGGGTTCCTCCCAAACAAAAACAAAATCAAAAACGCAGGGCAGGTTAGGTAGCCCACTAACCATTTTATAATAAGGGCACCCTTTTTTGGGCTTGGTGATTTTATAAGGGAAGCCAGAACCCAAAAACAAATGGTAAAGGGTACCACTGGGCTACCAGGTGAAGTGAAAAGCAGAAGGCAGCTCAAACTGCTATTGTTTGTCCTGAGAAGTTAAAGAAATGAACCAGCAAGGTCGAGCCGCACTGAGGGTTTAGGGTTTAGGGTTTAGGGTTTAGGGTTTAGGGTTTAGGGTTTAGGGTCTAGGGTTTAGGGTTCTGGAACTTGGAATAAGAAGGCTTCCAAGGAAGCCCGCGACACTGCTTCAAGGAACCTAATTAGGCAAAAATCGCGCATTAGCAAAGGCAGCGAAGATTCTTGAGTTCAAGATTTAAGTGGGCAAAACCCTAAACCGTAAACCCTAAACCCAACACCCCTAAACCCCTAACCCCTAAACCCCTAAACCCCTCAACCCTAAACGGTAGGTTGTTGTCAGGCTGGCATTGTACGATGCAGGCGACAACTGAGGCCTTTCTGGGCCCGGAGACTACGTACGCTCCTATTTCTGCTCACGGCAACTCTTCCGCCCCAAGCCAGGTTCTGACATTCGGGAAAGATGGAATTTCGGCCTGTATTCTGCTTTTGGAGTCGCAAGAATCTGAATCTCAAGGCATTTTCGCCTTACCAAGGCTCCCACATTCCTATGCCCTTACCTTCTGATTAACAGTTCTCTTGGACCGCGTCCATAGCCGAGGTTCTCGCAACTGCATGCTTACAGGCACTGCTGGGCTGGCAAACCCTAAACCCCAAACCCTAAGTCGACATTCGAAGTGCGAATCTCCGGCGCCCCCTAGAATTAAAGCACGTATCTTGTGTTTTAAAGATTGTGCCTCCCTTCTGTATGCGTGACGCTGAGGAACTGCAGGCCTTTATAAGTTTGAAGGCACCACTGAATTCTTGTTGCTATTGACCCTAAACCCTCAATCCTAAACCGCCATGCATTTCCGCTTTCAGGAATTTGCAGGGCTGTTACTTGGAATGAGCCCAAGCAGGTCCTAGGAACGAGACCATGCGTCCCAAACAGGCGTCTCCGGTAAATGCATAGAGGCACTACGGTGTGGCACGGGTTTTGGTGTTTTTTTTTGCCCTAAACCCTAAACCCTAAACCCTAAACCCTGAACCCTAAACCCTAAACCCTAAACCCTGAACCCTAAACCCTAAACCCTAAACCCTAAACCCTAAACTGCAGGGTTTAGGGCTTAGGGCTGAGGGTGGAGGGTTTCGGGTTCAGATTTTGGTGTCTTCAATCCTGTGGGCCCACAGCCTCTGCTGCATCATGGTACATGGACCCTAAGCCCTAAACCCTAAACCCTAAACCCTAAACCCTAAACCCTAACATAGGTGCAACGAAAAATGACACCCGACACTTTCAGGTAGGCTGCCTTGCACACCGCCTCGTACAGGAAGGGCTCCTGGAAGCGAGCAGAAACCCTAAACCCTAAACCCTAAACCCTAAACCCTAAACCCTAAGCCCTAAACCTTAAACTTCCAAACCCTAAACCCCAGGCTTCGAAACCGACCTTGCTGGGACCTGACAGTCTAAGGGCCACCCTTTATGTCCCCAAACCCTAAACCCTAAACCGTGAACCCTAAACCCTGAACCCTAAACCCTGGAAAAAACTTAAAGAGCGCCCGGACTTTTAACACAAATCTCTCTCAGCCCCGCGGGACATTCGAGAGCCAAGTTGCAGCGAAGAAAAAGGCAGAATTTATGCGACGCCCGAGCAGTGATAGATTAAGCAATCTCCGTGGCAAATGTTGTACACCAAATAGGTACCGCTCATGGTCGAAAACCAACACATCCTAAACCCCTGTTTTTCAACCCTAAACCCTAAACCCTAAACCCTAAACCCTAAACCCTAAACCCTAAACCCTAAACCCCAAACCCTCCTCCCTCCTCCACGCAATGGCTCAGGGTCACACGCAGGGGTGGGCCAGACGTGCGAGTGCAGGCTGCCGGAAGCGGGGGTGGGAGCGGAGGACTCCAGATGGCCTTAGCTGGTCTTAGGGTTTAGGGTTTAGGGTTTAGGGTTCAGGGTTTAGGGTTTAGGGTTTAGGGTTTAGGGTTTAGGGTTTAGGGTTTAGGGTTTTAGGCTGGGATGTGTTGTGCTTATACTAGCAGCCCTTAATAGGGACTATAACCCTAAGCCCTAGACCCGAATCCCTATTAAGGACTGTTCGTACAAGGGGGGGAACATCCCAAGTTCAGTTTCTTTTAACCGAGGATGGCCCTGAAACCCACTAACAAAACATTCCTAAACATGATCCTCTTAAACTAATAGGGTTTAGGGTTTAGGGTTTAGGGTTTAGGGTTTAGGGTTTAAGGTTTAAGCTTTAGGGCTTAGAAGGGAAGATATACAACACCCCAAGGGCCTAGCAATTTCGTGCCACCCAGCTGACGCTCACGACGCACCGAAGGGCTGCTCCGTTTGGGCTCAAGGGTGGTTTAGGGTTTAGGGTTTAGGGTTTAGGTGTATAGGGTGTATAGGGTGTATAGGGTGTACAGGGTGCATAGGGTGTATAGGGTGTATAAGCTTCACTCTGTCACTTGAAGAAAAACTTGTCAGGTTAGATTGTAACAATTTCTAGGGTGTAATAAGGGTTTAAACTTAGAGTTTGGGGTTTAGGGTTTAGGGTTTCAGTTCCTCTCTGGCCGCGGGGTTTCCACAGGGTAACCACAGAAAGTCATATGGTGGGGTTTCCGAAATTAGGGGGTTATCTTCTTGGGGTGCTTCTTACACGTGAAGCCTACTATTTGAGGGGTCTATATTGGGGGTCCCTTATGTTCGTAAACCCCCCGATGGATGTCTATGGCTTATACTTAGAGGTTCATGGTACTTATGAACCAACTATAGCTGTACTTATAAGTGTACTTATAACCATATTCGGGCACTTAGGGGGCATGTTCGTAAACCCCACATATTCACCCCAAATTAGCCGGTGACTTGCATCGCTGAGGGACGGTGAAGAACCAGAAGCCGGATCCCAGCACAAAGACACGGAGGAGCGCTTCGGCCGCCATCTGGTTTTGGGCTCAGACCTAAACCCTAAACCCTACACCCTAAAACCCCTAAACCCTAAACCCCTAAACCCCTAAACCCCTAAACCCTAAACCCCTAAACCCTTAAAACCTCTCTCTCCTCTACCCCTGCAACCCAAAGCCCCGCAACCCTGGCAATTTGGCCTGGCCCCTTCGGGGCTTGGCGAAGACTGTGGGCCAACAGGCGCTGGCGATCCGGAGGCATGCGTACTAAGATGGTAATGAGAGTAGAATGATGTAAGAATGTGAGAAAACTGATACTCATGTAAGAAGGTAGTAGTGATAGTAGAATGATAGAATAGCGTAAGAAAATAGAATGCTCATGTAAGAAGATGGTAATCTTGGTAGAGATACTCTGGGGTTGGGCATTCCAGCAACACTCTGGGGCTGGGCACTCTGGGGACAATCTGGGGTTGGGCACTCGAGGGAGACTCTGGGGTTCCAAGCACTCCGGGGACAGGCGCTCTAGGGAGACTCTGGGGTTGGGCCTCTGGGTTTGGGCACGGGAGACTCTGGGGCTGGGCACTCCGGGGACAGGCACTCTAAAAAAACTCTGGGGTCGGGCACTCCAGGGAGACTCTGGGTGGGAGACTCTGGGTCACTTCGGGGCACACTCTGGGGGTTGGGCACCCTAGGGAGACTCTGAATATGGGGCCTCTGGAGTTCTCTGAGGTTGTGCACTCCAGGGGTTGGGCCAGGAGAAGAGTTGAGGTGGGGAATGATCTTAATGTAAGAAGGTGTAAGAAACACATGAATGTAAGACAAGTAACATTAATGTAAGAAGCTCGAAAAGCTTTCATGAGAACACCATCCGCCAGCAGCATTCATCGACTAAAAGCACCTCCTGCGAAGCACCCCTAAACCCTAAACCCTAAACCCTAAACCCTAAACCCCAAACCCTAAACCCTTTCGGGAGGCTTTGGCCTTGGGATGTTTCCCCTTATACAAACAGTCCTTCGTAGGGAGTACCCCCCCCCCCCCCCCCCCCCCCGCCCATTCTGATCCCTACTAAGGAGCTGTTTGTATAAGGAGGGCCCTAAACCCTAAACCCTATAAGGAGCTGTTAGTATCAGGGGGAACATCCCAACTCTTGCCTCTTGTGGAATGCGTGGTCTGATGTCAAACCTCACAGGCCGCGCCCCGGCACTGGCAGCCGCACTGCGATGCATAGTGTGTGCGCTCAGGGTTTAGGGTTTAGGGTTTAGGGTTCAGGGTTTAGGGAAAGCCGGCACAGTGCCCTTTTGGTTCTGGCTGGGGGCTGTCTGCAGTTCCGAACTATCGTTGCAAGTGTGACACAAAAGTAGCACTCTAAATTGGCATGGCGACTGACTCTCTGTCGCGAGGCGCCCTGTGCACTTTAGCAAAAGGCAGGCTTTGTAAAACTGTGGCACATACTGAAATTTTTCAGCAGAGCCACTCATCCTAGTAGACGCTGTGCCAGAAGGTCACACGACCAGAAACAACACCGGGAATTCTGGGCCTGTAGTTTTGAGGCCTGTGCAGCTGGAAACAAACTCTGCTGGCGCAGCTATTCGAACCCCAGCTTTCAGAAATCATGTCGGTATGCGAGTTGGGAAGCCAGCCCATAAGGGAACGACAATCTAGCCGAGGATGGGCGTCTAAGCGATCTAGCCGAGTGAGATTCCCGCCTGAGATGGATCAAATCCACCGCCTGAATCTCCGACATTCTGGTTGGGGTTGTATGCGATCGGGTTTGGTTGGGCGTCCCAACTGACGACCCGCACCGAGCGTCCGGGAATATTGCTCAGTTCCTCAGCGAGGACTCGCTGAGCGGACCCTGTGCCAAAGCCCGACAGCCGCTGGCACACACTCGTGCTGGCCTCTACTGAACTTAGCACCCTAGCAAAAAATTACATTTTTAGCTGTTCCTTAAGGGCTCTAGTAACCAAAAGGTACAAAGGAATTCTAGTAGCCAAGATTTCAAAAAAAAGGATGTCCAAGTTCCCCTAAGTGGCCTCCTCGCCACGGATGGAGATCCTGAAGCAAACGCCGACCGTCTCGTCCAAGCGGCGAAGTGCACTGCGAACATCAAGACGCCTCTTCCTTACTTAGGGCTTAGGGCTTAGGGCTTAGGGCTTAGGGCTTAGGGCTTAGGGCTTAGGGCTTAGGGCTTAGGGCTTAGGGCTTAGGGTTCAGGGTTGAGGGTTTAGGGTTTAGGGTTTAGGGTTTAGGATTTAGGGCTTAGGGCAGCAACCATATTGTAATAAGGGCACGCTTTTTTGGGTTGGTTATTCTATAAGGGAAACCAGAAAAATGGTAAAGGGTACCACAAGGCTACCAAGCTGTTGGTTAGTAGGGGTCATGAGGGAATGAGGTACCCTATATCCTTATGTGGGTGGTTGTCAAAATTCTGATCCCTTTTGGGGTACCCTAAATATTAGGTGCCGCATGATAATAGGCATCCAAAACCATAATTTTGACAACCACCTATATATACCCTTTAAGGGATTCTCTGCTAACCGACAGTAAGCTTCGCATTCTCGCACGGCACAGTCAACTCGACGGTACTCTCGTCAATGTTCGGCCCAGCCAACTTTGCGACGGTCTTCTTGAGGGCAGCGATTGCATCTGGATCCTGGCGGAATTCTCCAGCATTTGGCACCTAAGTCCCAGAAGAGTCTGAGAATCAACAAAGGGCACCCCTAAACCCCCTAAACCCCCTAAACGGCCTAAACCCCCTAAACCCTAAACCCCCTGAACCTCAAACCCTAAACCCCCTAAACCCCCTAAAACTCAAACCCTAAACCCCAAACCCTGAACCTCGGGGGGGGGGGGGGGGGCCGATGCCGGGGCACGGAGACCGAAAAGCTGCCAGTGGCAAAGAAGACGCCCAGGCCGGTAGACAAGCCGAGGCCGACGCCCAACGAGACGGCGAGTGCCGCACCTGGAGGGGTTTAGGGTTTAGGGTTTAGGCTTTAGGGTTTACTGTTTACGTACTTTTATAGTTAAGGAACCAAAAAAAAGGCTTGACTGCAACTGTTCCTACTAAATGAGGAAGCCCAAAAAAGTTTAAAGCTCAGCTTGCGGGCGTAGGCACCTGAACCCTAAACCCTAAACCCAAAACCCAAAACCCTAAACCCTAAACCCTAAACCCTAGACTCTAAACGCATCAGGTCCCTAAACCTCCACAGGTAGTTACACGGTCCCTTACAACTGAAATACGGGCCTTTGGGTTTTGTAGGGTTTAGGGTGTTTTTTGGTACATAAGGGGTCCCCACTTAAGGGCATCTATTGAAGGGACCATGTCAATCCCCGGAGAAAACTCCCAAAAACCCCAAACCCCAAACCCTAAACTAAAGCCTAAAGCCTAAACCCTAAAAGTGCAACTCTTGTCTGAGGAAGGCGCCCAGGGTCGAACCCAAAGCTGCGCCCAGAGCGACTCCATCATTGTCCCTGGGAGGGGGGAGGGTGTAGGGTGTAGGGTGTAGGATATAGGGTTTGGGGTTTGGCGGCACCCGCATAGCTGGACGAACCACTCCGCAGGGTTTGGGGTTGGGGGTTTGGGGTTTGGGGGTTTGGGGTTTAGGGTTTGTTCCTGGGGGGTGGGGGGGAAGGTTTAGGGTGTAGAGTTTGGGGTCTTCAACTTCTATGGGTCGTAATTCAGGGGTTCTATTGGAGTTCTGCATGGTTGTTGCTGTTTTTTTTGGGGGATGAATGAGGGCCGTTTCGGGCTCAGACAACCCTAAACCCTAAACCCTAAACCCTAAACCCTAAACCCTAAACCCTAAACCCTAAACCCTAAACCCTAAACCCTAAACCCTAAACCCTAAACCCTAAACCCTAAACCCTAAACCCTAAACCCAATCCCGGCCAAGCTTCGGGATGTATGGACCCTTCCCACGAGTCCGCGTGAAGGTGGCTGTGGTGCTCCTTAGGGCTGAGTACCCTGGCTCAAAAAAGGGTTTAGGGTTTAGGGTTTAGGGTTTAGGGTCAAAAAAGGTTTACCTTCAATTATGGTAGGATTGGTTCTGCCCCAAAAGGTTAAAGGCTGTCTACTCGGCTACTAAGGCTCGTTGTCGAAGTCCCCGTGGTCTGCGTGGAGGTAAATGTGCTTGCCGTCGACGAAGTCGTAGTGTGCGTAGTGGGGCAGGTGTCCTTGGTAGCCCCGTAACCAGATTAATAAGGGCACCTTTTTTTGGGTTGGTTATTTTATAAGGGAACACCCAAAACCCTAAACCCCAAACCCCAAACCCTAAACCAAAAAAAGGTAAAGGGTACCACCTGGGCTACCAGGTGTCACAAGTGAAATCTGCTTCATCCTCACAGTCGGGGCAATCACAAAACGTGTCATTCACGTAGTCTTCGGGAATCTGGCATGAGGAGCTGGTGCAACTGAACGTTGCGGTGGTGGTGGTTGTTGTGCACTTCGGAGTGTGAGGATGTCTCCCCCAGTACCATGAGCTCATCTTGGTGAGGTGGTTGCCCGTGTATCCATAGCGGCGAGAGATGTAGCTCCTGCCGTAGAATCTGCCGTACCTCAGTTGCTGAGTTCATAAGCCCCAAAAGAGTGTACAATTTCATTTCTATAGGGGGGGACTATAGTATCCCAAAAAGTGTAAAGTGTACTCATTCAGCTACTAGGCCTAAACCCTAAACCCTAAACCCTAAACCCTAAACCCTAAACCCTAAAGTGTACTCATTCAGCTACTAGGGTACAACTTTCCCCACAGCCATCGGTAGTGTCCACTCCATGGCTTGTAGTAGTTGAAGCCTCTTCGTGCACCGCCATAGTATTTGGACCATTTGCCTCGTTTAGGGTTTAGGGTTTAGGATTTAGGGTTTAGGGTGTAGGGTTTAGGGTTTAGGGTTTAAGGTTCAGGGTTTAGGGTTTAGGGTTCGGGTTTAGGGTTTAGGGTATTTCATTTGGACCACTTGCCTCTGTACAGGTTCTGGTAGTACTTGGACATATAGCTGGCGTAGACGGGGTTGTCGCTTGGCGTGCCTGGCAAAGTCATTTGAGCGGGGGTTTGGCCTGGCATGCTCATGGCCATGGGTGTCTCGCTGGCGCCCGCAGTGCTAGAGGCGCCAGGGCTCCAAGCACCTTTGCCCCACGCACCATTGCCTTGGCCCCAAGCACCTTGGCCCCAGGCGCCTTGGCCCCAACGGCCTTGGCCCCAAGCGCCTTTGCCCCAAGCGCCGTTGCCCCAGGCACCGGCTCCAGGTGTGGCCATGGCAGCCGCAGGAGCGCCAAGTGTCGGGGCTTGACCCGCCGTGCCCGCTGCCATGGCTGCTGCAGCTTGCCCCTGGCCCCACGCCCCGGCTCCAGTGGCTCCAGGTTGGCCCCAAGCACCTTTGCCCCATGCGCCCCAAGCACGTTTGCCGTATGCTCCATGCCCTTGGCCCCAGGCACCTTGGCCTTGGCCCCAAGAACCTTTGCCCCAAGCACCTTGGCCAGGAGTCCAAGCGCCGCCTGTGCCATTTGCGTTGGCAGCCGCAGGAGCGCCAAGTGTCGGGGCTTGACCTGCCATGCCAGCTGCCATGGCCGCTGCAGGTTGTGCCTGGCCCCATGCGCCGGCCCCAGTGGCTCCACCCCAAGCACCTTTGCCCCATGCGCCCTTGCCCTGCCAAGAACCTTTGCCCCACGCGCCCTTCCCAGCTCCCTGGCCCCAAGCACCTTGGCCCCAAGCACCTTGGCCCCAAGCACCACCGGCTGCTTGGCCAGGAGTCCAAGCACCTGTTCCATTTGCTGTGGCAGCTGCAGGAACGCCAAGTGTGGGGGCTTGACCTGCTGTGCCAGCTGCCATGGCCGCTGCAGGTTGCCCCTGGCCCCACGTGCCTCCAGCTTGGCCCCAAGCACCCTTGCCCCATGCGCCCTTGCCCTGTGCCCAAGCACCTTTGCCCCACGCGCCCTTGCCCTGTGCTCCTTGGCCCCAAGAACCTTTCTCCCATGCTCCCTTGCCAGCTCCTTGGCCCCAAGCACCTTTGCCCCAAGCATCGCCGGCTGCTTGGTCAGATTCTGGAGCCTGAGCCTTTGCCGTTGCAGCAACGTTGGCTTTGGCAGGATCGCCAAGTGCAGGGGCTTGCCCCGCCGTGCCAGCTGCCATGGCCGCTGCAGGTTGCCCCTGACCCCATGCGCCGGCTCCAGGTTGACCCCAAGCACCTTTGCCCCAGGCGCCCTTGCCCTGTGCTCCTTGACCCCAAGCACCTTTGCCCCACGCGCCCTTGCCTGGTGCTCCTTGGCCCCAAGAACCTTTGCCCCATCCGGCGGCTCCTTGGCCCCACGCACCTTTGCCATGAGCTCCTTGGCCCCAAGCACCTTTCCCCCAAGCATCGCCGGTTGCTTGGTCAGAATCCTTGTCTGTTGCAGCAGCGTCGGGTTTGGCAGGATCGCCAAGTGCCGGGGCTTGACCCGCCGTGCCAGATGCCACAGCTGCTGCAGGTTGGGCCTGGTCCCATGCGCCATTTCCGTAGGCTCCACCTGCTCCTTGGCCCCAAGCACTTTTGCTCCATGCACCCGGGCCGTACGCTCCATTGCCTTGGCCCCAAGCTCCTGTGCCATAGCCTTGGCCCCAGGCGCCTTGGCCCCAGCCGCCTTGGCCCCAGGCGCCTTGGCCCCAAGCACCATTGCCCCAAGCACCTTGGCCAGGAGTCCAAGCGCCTGTGCCGTTTGACATGGCAGGCGCAGGAGCGCCAAGTGTGGGGGCTTGACCTGCCGTGCCAGCTGCCATTGCCGCTGCAGGTTGACCCTGGCCCCATGCGCCTCCAGCTTGGTCCCAAGCACCTTTGCCCCATGCGCCCTTGCCCTGTGCACCTCCTTGGCCCCAAGAACCTTTGGCCCAAGCACCTTTACCTTGGCCCCAAGCACCTTTCCCTTGGCCCCAAGCGCCTTTGCCGCCCCAAGCGCCCTTGCCGCCCCAAGCGCCATTGCCTTCACCCCACGTGCCCTTCTCATCGCCTTGTCCTGCCTGGCCGTCTGTTGCAGGCAGAAGCAAGCGGACATGGGACCCGATGTACCCTGTCCAATAGCCGTAGCCCGGGTAGTAGCCCGGAAGGGGGGGAAGTTTGTAGCAGTGAGGCGCGGCAATCAGCTCGCCACCTGGTAGGGGAGGCAAGCCAATAAGATGTGGGCAGGTGGTTGTGGTTGTGGTCTTCACGTCTCCGAGGCAAGAAGTCCATGTCCCGCAGATCAGTGGACAACTGCCAGGTACTTGAATCAAATCGACCACGCCACCAAAGTCTGCTTGAAGCCAGTCCGGATTGACATCGGAGCCCTCTTCCAAGTCCGAGGGCGGGGCCGAGGGGGTCGAGGCAGAGAGGACAAGCGGCCCTTGTGGTTCCGCCTTCGGCTTGCCCACAACGCTGCCCGCAGAATCCGCGACACCTGCTTGCTGGCTTTGCTGGCTCACGACAAGCAAGGCGATGGAGCTGGCCACCCCAAGCGGTCCCCACCACCTCCACCCGCACCTCCTGCTCGGTTCTTTCGTGACACGGGGCTGCAAGCTCTGAAGCTCCTCATCACCTGAGTCCATGTCAGGGGCTGGCCCAGGCTGCACGTCTGCGTGGATGTCCATTCCCCTAGCTTCCCTAATCAAGGCCTATACGCGGCCAACTGGACTAGCATTTGCTGGATGCTCTTTTAGCAGCAGCAAGCTCTGAGGGCCGAGATGCCAGGAAACACGGGCAAGGTTTCTTGCGAGGACAAAACAAGTAGCACCACGCATAATATGCACAGGCACGACGCCTAAGGCTTCTCCTCCGTGGCAGTAACACTAGCATCTGAACCGGCAGCTGTGCACTTGCCTTTTCCCCTCGATGCATCTCCGCTGTGTGGCATGCCTAGCTATTGACTACGTCTCTAAAAGCTATGCCGCGACTGCGTCACAAAAAGATCGGAGTTGTCACAGCGATGGGGCAGCAGACGTGACGCTCCACGTAGTTGGCTGGCCATGAGGGGTGCCGGAGTTCCCAGCGGCCAAGAGGAACTCTTTGCATCCTAGGGCCAATTCTACGACTTCATTCCCGCGGCACTGAGACTCTGCCTAAATCCCTGGTACAACTGAAAAGTGCTTGACACTCATTGGCCATAGCAAACTCTCAGGGCCGAGATGCCAAGAAGTGCGGGCGAAGTTCTGCGCGGTCAAAACGGGTAGCACCACACATATGGGGGTTTTACGAAAATAGGGGGCCCCTACAATAGACCCCAATTAGTAGGACCCCTGATAAGAGGACCCCCAATCAGCCCCTAGTATCGCAAACCCCCATATGCGCAGGCATGATGCCTAAGGCTTCTCATCCAAGCATGGCGCATGGTAAAGAAGGGTGCCCGCTAGGGTCAGCAGACAGCGCCGGAGCTGACAGGTCGAACATGGTCGAACAGCAGGGGCAGCTAGGGTTTAGGGTTTAGGGTGTGGGGTTTAGGGCCTCACATCTGAGTGGGGCCTTCTGGTGGCAAAGTGGTAGTAACACTCGCAACTGAACCTGTGGCTGTGCACTTGCCTTTTCCTCTTGATGCATCTCCGCTGTGTGGCATGCCGAGCTACCTGACTACGTCTCTAAAAGCTATGCCGCGACTGCGTCACAAAAAGATCGGAGTTGTCACAGCGATGGGGCAGTGGAAGCAAAGCTCTGCATAGTTGGCGGGCCATGAGGGCTGCCGGAGATCCCAGCTGCCATGAAACCTAAACCCTAACCCCTAAACCCTAAACCCCTACACCCCTAAACCCCCAAACCCCCAAACCCCTAAACCCCTAAACCCTTAAACCCCGAAACCCCTAAACCCTACATCCTTTTGTCTGCTTCCACTGCTGAAGGTGAGATCAGCCGCCGCCTGGCTAAGAACATAGCGCCCGCAGCTCCTTCAATCAAGCTCCTCTCGACTATTTTTTTCCAAGGGTTTAGGGTTTAGGGTTTAGGGTTTAGGGTTTAGGGCGACATGATCATTGGAAATTCGGAAGTTCAACTGCACCTAAGCCCACCAACCTGGCTACCCAAAACATCATTACCGCGTGGCCGAAGAAATGACCCAGCGCACTCTTTTGCATCTGCAGCCACAACCCTCTTACAACCATAAAACTTTGTTGCATCCTTGAAACCCTCAACCCTCAAACCCGCTAAGCCCTAAACTCTACACCTTACACACCGGCCTAGAGTAGGCGCAGGATTCAGAGATTAGACACGATGCGCCGCAATTTGCCGACGCAGCAAAGACTTGCGTTGTGAAAATGGCTTGCATCTTTGCAGCATGCCCATAGAAATCCCAAATCCCCGGCAAGCGGTTTCACATGCACACTTTAGTATGTTCGGGCTTTTTTAAGGCATCTGCATCCACAAATGCTCCGTCCTCCTACCCATTCTAAGCTAGGATGGCCCTTAAAGGCCTCTGAAAGTTCTTCCTAAATATGGTCCTCCTGAACCCAATATGTAAAGGAACATGAGCAAAATCCCAAGGACCTACCTGGTAAAGCTGCGTACAAACGCTCCCCCTAAACCCTAAACCCTAAACCCTAAACCCTAAACCCTAAACCCTAAGGACCACGGGCGTCAACTGTCACGCGACTTCACATCCGAGCTCCCTGTACAGCTGCCACCGGTGGAACTTTTGCCACTGAGGGTGCCTCCAGAAAACTTATGTAGGGTGTAGGGTTTAGGGTTTAGGGTTTAGGGTTTAGGGTTTAGGGTTTAGGGTTTAGGGTTTAGGGTTTAGGGTTTAGGGTTTAGGGTACTTATACCAACTCTGAGATTCTACAGTTCTGCAATCCCTGGGTTTATACAAATCAAACCAGAAAAGAACTCCTAAGGGCACTCTAGGGGTTTCCGAAATTAGGGGTACCTTATTTGAGGTCCATTATAGGGGTCTCTTACTTTCGTACACTCCCTTGTACCAAGATTGAGACTCTACACTCATACAAAGAAACAGCGACGCGCTCCACCCCCTCCCCCCCCCACTCCCTCTCCAAGTCCGAGCACAAAGTCCTACAGGGCGGAGGGGCCGCGCACGGGGGCATTGTTGGAAGTCTCCCTGCCCCAGAGCTCTCTCACCTACACAACCCGCAACCCTCAACCCTCGACCCTAAAACCCTAGAACCCTAAAACCCTAAACCCTAAACCCTAAAACCCTAAACCCTAAATCAATGAGAGCTCCACCCAAGCTGTCTCTCTTTGCGCCTCACGCCCGTTCTCTTTCTGCCCCGATCGCCGGATCTCACGACTTTTGAGGTACCGATGTCACTCTGACCACTCTCTGCCATTCTTGCGAAGTATGGGGGCATTGGTAAATAGAATAGGGTTTGGGGGGTTATTATGATATACTTGTATAGGGACCATAACATGAGTAACCATAAGGGAATAACATGAGTAACTATTCCGACCCCTATATTCTCTCTCTCTCTCTCTCTCTTGCTCTCTCTCTCTCTCTCTCTCTCTCTCTTATGTCGTCTACAACATTGAGGCTCGGAAACCTGAAGCTCGAAAGGCACCCTACGCGTGTGGATTCAGAGGCGTCATGCCTGCGACAAAGCTACTACGTCAATCACCTGAAGTTGGATGCATGGTTGTAGAGTCCGAAGAGGGGGTTTAGGGTTTCGGGTTTAGGGTTTAGGGCTTAGGATCCCCTGTAGTCATTGCAAGAACCGAAACTTCACCTTGAACACTGGGTCCTATTTCTCCACGAACCGCTACGAACCTGCAGCCAACTCCATCATCTCCTGTTAGAGGGTTTAGGGTTTAGGGTTTAGGGTTTAGGGTTTAGGGTTTAGGGTTTAGGGTTTAGGGTTTAGGGTTCTTGAGGGAGGGGGGGGGGGTCATCTTAGGGAAGCTTAGGGGGCCTTTTCGGAACTCGTGGGGAGCATGAGGGAACCTCGGGTTGCAGAACCCGCTTGAACCCTAGACCCTAATAACCCTAGACCCTAATAACCCTAATAACCCTAATAACCCTAAACCCTAAACCCTAAACCCTAAACCCTAAACCCTAAACCCTAAACCATCGTACAAGCCACCGCAGGCTCACGGGTAGAATGCGCCGAGATAAAGGCCGAACTTTCAGCCTGGTCTGCTGATGCCCCTGGTTTAGGGTTTAGGGTTTGGGGTTTGGGGTTTAGGGTTTAGCGTTTAGGGTTAGGGTTTCGGGGTAGGGGCTTCAGGATTCAGGGTGTAGGGTTTAGCGAAGTCTTGAAGTGAACTACAGTAAGGGCGAAGAAGAAGCCAGCAAGTTTACAAAGAGGTGGAGAAGCAAACCCTGAAGTTAAGCCCTAAACTTGGGATGTTCCCCCCTATACTCACCTTAATAGGGATTATAGTACCCCCTACTACAAGCCCTATTAAGGGCTGTTAGTATATGGGGGAACACCCCACATCCCAGCCTACATCCAAAACCCAAAACACCCCTCAACCGCTCCAAAGAAACAACAAAGCAACTCGAAAGCCTAAACCCTAAACCCTAAACCCTAAACCTTAAACCCTAAACCCTGAACCCAAAAGCCTGAAGCGTTAAACGTCCTAACCACCCTACACACCCCACCTGGGCTCTGCAATCAAAAAGACACCTGAAGCACCTCAAACCCTAAAAACCCCTAAACCCTAAACCCTAAACCCTAAACCCTAAACCCTAAACCCTATAAACCACTGGCGCGGCGTGCGGCCTTGGTGCTCAGCTCTTCGGGGCCTCGGGCCTGGAGACGTGGCTTTCAGGGGCCTTAAGGGTTAGGGTTTAGGGTTTAGGGTTTAGGGTTTAGGGTTTAGGGTTTAGGGTTTAGGGTTTAGGGTTTAGGGTTTAGGGTTTAGGGTTTAGGGTTTAGGGTTTAGGGTTTAGGGTTTAGCGTTTAGGGTTTAGGGTGAGTTGAAGGGCTTAACGGGGTCTAAGGGATTTCTTGAAGGGCCTTGAAGGGCGTTAGAGGGTTTCGCGGCTTAAGGGCATTGAAGGGGACTCCAGTGGCTTTAGGGGTTTAAGAGGCATCAAAGGCCGTAAGGGTTTAGGTGTTCGTTTTGAAAGCTTGAAAGTTTCTTGGGGTGCATGTCTGGGTTTTGAAGTGGAGTGTGGGGTTTTGGGGTGGAGTGTTTCCCTCGGGGGAGCGGTTCGTTGGTTGCAACAAGCCTGTTTTGGTCTTGGGTCGCCACCCAAAACCCTAAACCCTAAACCCTAAACCCTAGACCCTAAACCCTACAAACCGACACTTCTGGCGTGGGTCATACAAAGAAGTTCTCGCCAAGCTTGGCCGTGGAAGTTTTTGTTTCTACATGAGACCAAGGGGGCAAGAACAGCACCCCCCCCCCCCCCCCCCCCCCCCCCGCGAATCTGAGATGTACTTGATACCTACCAAGCCTTGACGATAAAAGATTGCTGTTGTCCAAACCCTAAACAGGGTTGGCCTTGAAACCCCTTTGAACAAAAGTTCTATACTCCATGGTCCCGTACAATCCCAAAAGAAGGAAAAACAGAACGTCTCCCAAGAAGCCACCCACGTAAAGTCAAGGTAGTACAAAAATTGTGTTGGCCTATTTAAACCAATTGAACAAATCTCTACTATAGGGTCCCTTATAAACCCAAAGAAGGAGAATAGAACATTTCCCAGAAGCC